CTCCTATTTTGGACTTCAAGAGTTGATTTTTACCACTGAAATAACTCTAGATTTCAGTGGTTTAAAGGCCCAAAAATTTTGATTTAAAGGTGGTAAGAAATGGCACAAAAGGCTTCACAAGCCAAAGAGCAAAAAGAGGAGACAATCCCTTAACTCACCAAGACTTAAACCACCATTTTGAAACCTTAAAAACAAAGTTTTTTATGGTTGAAAAATCAAGTCAAAATAGTGTAAAAAGATAGCCAAGTAATTGATTAAAGCAAAGTCTACAAGGAAAGTCCCTTACCTCTTGAAGCACAGCACAAAATCAGTCACAATTTTGAGCTTTAACCACTCTTAGAAGCTCAAACCAAGCCTCAAAGAACCTTAGCTCCAAGATGAAGATGTTTAGTTAAGGGTCTTAGTGCAAAAGTGTAGAGAATTCTCACTTTCAAGTATAAAACAAGAAGAGAGAAAGAGAATTCTAGAGGGAGAGAGAGAGAAATTTGCTCCAAATTGTGTAAGCCCTCAAAATGGGGGAGAGACCCCCCATTATATAGAAAATCAAGCTAAATGCTTGTATTCATCCCTCTATACATGTGTATGGAGATGAGCATTAGTGAACAACAGCTGGCACAACTGGCAAAGAAATATTTGAAAAAGGAGAAAAATGGCCGTCGGCCATCATCAGTGGCCGACCGACCATCAATGTAGCCGACCGGCCATCAACATAGCTGACCGGCCACCACTGGTGGCCGATAGGAACAAGTCATGGTCGGCAGGCTAAGGGGATGGCCGACAGGTCACCCTCTCCTCCAGAAGTGAAGCAAAAAGCTCTTGGCCCACAACCAAGCACAAAACAAACAAGATTGGAGGCTCCAAGGCAAGGCGCTCAGCTGAGACCTTCAGAGACTCAAAACGAACACAAACGAGCACAATCATCGGGTATTCAAATGATGGCATTCAAGTCTTGAGGACGGTCAAAAATGGGGTGTCTATAGTAGGCTTAACTAGCACTACCAAAAACCCCACTTTACTCGTTGCTAACCGGAAGGGAAGTGGTACTTCCTCTGCGTGTGTTTTCGGTTTTTCACCCTGGATACTCAGGCCAACTTAATCAATTTCATCTACACCTCCTATCCGGACTTACCAACATATTTACCCCAAAATATTTCAATAAATTCATTTTGCAATATTTCTTTCTCAATGCAAATGTTTTTAAATCTCAACTCAAAACTTTCAACAATGCAATATTAGAAATGCCAATACAATATATGCCAAAACTAAATAATAACCTTGTAATAATCAATTGAATGAACATGCAATGCAATAATCGTCATCACTATATAACATTTTTCAACGATGATTCATCATAATCAAACTTTCCACTCCTCTTTCAACATTATCAAGCATGATACCCATAATTTCATTTAAATTCATTAACAAATGAATACTTTCACATTTCGTATTAAACCAACAATTTGTTACTTCATAACTTTATCTACAATTACAACTACAAATTTCCATCTCCATGTTTCACATATTCTATGTAATTCATCATTTCTATAATGGCAAAAGATATTTTCCATTCCATTTTTCTATTGTGACATAACAACAAATTGATTAATTTTATAGATCCTCAATCCATGTCAAAAAACAAAATCCATAAATTTGGGTCTATGGCTAAGATTTGGTATCTCTTCACCTTTTTAAAAGGACACACACACAAAACATTTTCTTTCACGTGATGAAAGTGAAACCCTCAAGGATTAACTTAGAGAGATTTGAGATTTTAAAACCCACTTTTGAAAATCCCTACATTCTTGAGCCAAAAATCAAAGCCCTTATAACATCCCCAAGAAAACCCCAAAATCAACATTAACCTTGCAAAACATGTATATATAACTCAAAGAAGTCCTTACCTCAAGCTTTGGAGAAGAAGAGAGAAGAAACCCCCAAAACCAACATTGTAGAAACTCGATCTCCACCGCACAAAGTGAAGCCCTCGTTTAGCTCTCCAAAGTTTGTGAAGGATGATTGATCTAAACCTCAATAGATAGCAAGAGATCAAGAGTTTGATGTGTTTGGTGGATGTTTTTAGAGAGAAGGGAGAGGAAATGTTACTTTTAGAGAGAGAGAGAGGTGCAAAAAGTGAAATCCACACAGCCCTAAAAGAGAAGAAAAACAAAATTTTCGGACTTAGCGGAGTCCTGCACGTGTGGCACCTACGCTTGCACCTGCGGAGCGTCCTTCCGCACGTGCGGCAATCACTCCCGCATGTGCGGCGGTCCTCCCCTGCACCACCAGCCGCACCTGCATATAATGTAGTGTGCAGCCCATAAATCTCCTTCCTCACCGCACGTAGGACCACCCATCCTGCATGTGCGGCCCTTCTCCGCACTTGTAGCCCAAGGCCCTGCACGTGCGGCCCTGGCCCTGCAACCCAGAATTTTCTCTGCTCAACTCTAGACAATTCGGACTCGACCGTGCACTCTCCAAAACAAGTGACACTCAAACCCGGAATAAACAAGGACTGGAATTTGAGAAAAAAAACTTCTGAACGCAACAAACCCAATGAAGACAAAGAGTGAAGTGACGTACAACGAAACCGGTCATCACAGTTTCTACGGTGCAATCGGACTACTTTTGATCTGTCCGCCACTGGTTTAGCCGTGCAACACACATCGTTGTGCATAGGTTGCACGGCATGCCACCATGTTGACATTGCGCGACTCGTCTTCTAACTTGGTCAAACCTCCACTCTCAATCCGTTCGATTTCCTTCCTTATATCTCGGTCAAAGCGTTGACCGCTATGATGAGGTAGCTAGATCCACGAATGTGGGCCCTTTGGTAGTTTGGTCAAACTTTTTTGACCAGTTAAATCCATTGTTCGCCCTACGCTAAGCTCTTCCCAAGGCATAACTCAAACCAACTCGCGGCCCAAGCCTCAAAATCACTTGCATATAGCTCGGCCAAATTTGATTATACAAATTACCCTTTCACATATAAAATAATAAAATAATACAAATATTTTGTTCATGTCATTTCAAAGAAAATAATAATTATCTTCTTTGGTTTAAATCAAACAAAAAATTTATTTTTTTTATATTTATTTTTTGTGTTTTTTTTTTACTGAATTTTTATAATATTTTAAGCAATTTTTATTTTTATTTTTTAGATGCACCTAATCTAGATATACTTAAGAAGTATAATATTTTGTGATTTTTTTAATTCACCAAATATAAAAATACAAAAATTCAATTTATTATCTTATTTTGTTGTATTCAATAATTTTTTTTAATTTTTTTTTGGGTACAAATTTTATGCTTTTTAAATATATCTAGATTAAATTGATCTAATCTAAATATAATGGTGGAAATAAAATGAAAAATTATATTCACTCAATAAAAATATGCTCAGGTAGAATTTAATAATGGAAAGTTATAGAATATAGTTATGATAATAGGAAGAAAAAATTGTAGAAAAAATGACAAAATGGTCATTTCAAAATTTTTAAGGCAAGACATCAGCAATTCGGGAGATAATTTGTAATGAGTTTACAAATTTCAAGAAGGGGAATGTAATTTTCCGAATATAAGAGGGGGATTTGTATTAAATAGAAACCTTAGGGGGTGTCAGTGTAATTTACCCCTTTTTTTTATTACAATAATAACGTTACAACATCATTCTTGTAAAGTTAAATTTTTGTTTGGATATAATTTTATGCATAGAGTTTTGCTAATGGCCCATATTAGAAAAATGCTTGGGAGCACTAATTAGTGCTCCCACTAATTAGGTGGCACTGGGTCCCGTTCGGCTTAACTACCAGGGCACGTGGCACCTCGGCTGACACATCGGCGTCACTATGCCACGTGTTGGTATTCAGAAAATATATCCCCACAATTCTTGTAAAGTTAAATTTTTGTTTGGATATAATTTTATGCATAGAGTTTTGCTAATGGCCCATATTAGCAAAAGAAAAAAAAAATAAAAATCTAAATTTTTTTGTTTAAGTAATTTTTTTCAAAATTATGTCAATTTTTTATTTTTTTTGTCCATCTTGTCGAAACGAATCTAAAAAGTATATTTTTTTGAAAAATTCAAAAAAAAAAAAATCACTAAAGATGCAAATAAGTTAAAAAAAATTACTTATTTTTGTCTTTTTTGAATTTTTTGATTCATCTTGTGAGCTGAATTTAAAAACTTAAAAGCTTTTTGAATTTTTTTTAAAAAAATTCATTAAAGACGAAAACAAGCTTTACAAAAAAGGCAAATAAAACCATTCACAAAACACTACTATGTATAATATTGCTCATTGAAAATAGTTAGATAAATGAAAGTTTATCTTGAAAATCATCCCGAAAATGAGGTGATTGTTGTAGATTTAACATTGATGAGATGTGAGTTATACTTAAAATAATTTTTATCCCTAAATATATCACTTTAGGCACTTTTTCTGTTTATGTAACATTATTGTCATTCGTTAGAAAGTAATTGAAGTAATAAAGCAAGGTGTTTTGGGGTTTGCTTTTTTTATTATTTTTTTGTTGATTATTTTCATCTATAGATTTTTTTGATTTTTTCAAAAAATTTTAAGATTCTTGATTAACAAATTGAAAAATTAAAATTAAAAAATAAAGCAAAAAAAATAGTGATTTTTTTTTTGTTGCATATTTTTTATTTTAATTTTTTAAAATTTTTTAAAAATTTATCTACACAATATGAACGAAAAATCAAAAAGATTAACATAATTAAAAAAATACTATTAAAAAAAAAAATGCCTCTTAGAATTTGTAAACAGCCATTACGTAGCGTGATTGAATTGGAAGCCTTTTTTTCACCTTCCTGCTGGTCTCCACGTAGGTTTAAATGTCTAGAAAAATGTTTTAGAATTTTAATTCTTGAACTCTAAATAAGTGAGTCTTATTTATGATGTGATGCATGTATATATATATATATGCATATTTCTTTAAGATTATTACATCTAATTAAAATTTCTTAATTAGAAATTTCTATCATTGTTGAAAAATCTAGAAAAAAACTACAAAACAGTGTTCATGATGAGACAGTCCTACTAGCGCCACATGAGACAGTCCTCTACGATTAGAAGAAATGTACAACGGAGAAAGTTCCAGTCCTAAATTGTGATCCATATTTGAAAACCAAAGCTTCCTTTTAGAGAGAGAACAAGCGTGTTTTAGAGAGAGAGAGAGAGAATGTTGGAAGGGAAAGGTGTAGTGAAGGAAACAGACATGCCAATGAAGATGCAGATTCAAGCCATGGATTCAGCTTCTGAAGCTCTTGATCTCTATGATGTCTGTGACTGCATCTCCATTGCTTCCCACATCAAAAAGGTACTTTACTTTATTCCTCCTATACCCAACTCCTCATATTTATGATCTTCACCTGCATCTCCATTGTGACTTGGGGCTGTTTGTTGCATCTTATGAAAGCTTATTATAATTTATTTTAATTTAAAAATTTATGTTTGACTGTTTGGTGCAGTTTTATTTATAATTTATTAGGTAAAATTAGTTTAAATAAATTGAAAAGTTAAGAGAGAAGTGTTAGAACTTTCTCTTTCTGATAATTAAATTTTAACTTAAAAAAACTCTACCAAACAGGCTCTTTGAATGCCACGGATTCAAATGGCGGAAATAATTATGTAAGATTGTGTATATATGACTCTCTTCAAACTATGCAATATGGGAGCTTTATGCACTAGGACTACCCTTTACATATCTATGAAGCACAGATAAGATGGGGCATAGTGATCACATATCGATGTGTCCTTTTATTAAATAATTTATTTTTTAGAGACAACTATTCTCCCTCTTTTTTAGTATTTTGATACATAAATATTTTTTGTTTTTTGTTTATATATATTGAATTAGTGTCACTTTTTGTTAATTTTGATTGTTATTTTTGGCTGTGTCCTCGTTCTGTTTGTGTCTCAATTTTTCTTTCAAAATCACTGTTTATGTTTCGATATCTATATCCATGTTTGTCTTTACTTTTTAGCCTGCATTGGGTTCCAATCTTAAAAAATTAACCAACCTAAACTGCATAAAAACGAAAAACTCAGTTCAAATTTATGGGCAATTCAGGCTCAATTTGTTGAGTTCCGGCTAGACTTGAACTAACAAATTTGAGTTGCGGAGTTGAGATTGAATGACTTTCAGCACAACTCAAATTGAGGTCTAATGTGGGATAAATTTTTTTAACTTGATTTTTTTGACAATTTTAACCTAGTTAAAAAAGGTTCTGTCTGAAATAAATTTTTAACTTTTTTTTTTTGTAGTTGATTTGATAATTGTGAGAGAAAAAATAAAATAATTATGATTTGAATGTGATATTTTATCTTATTGGCTAAATTAGTCTATTTTGTCTTTTAGTAAACTAATTTAATCCCAACCCATATGCCAAACAAACCTTGAGTTTAAATAATCTTCTAATATGACAAAATCTACCCGAATTGCAACCCTAACGAACCTTGAGTTTGAATAATCTTCTAATATGACAGAATCCACCCGAATTGCAACCTTACCTGATTTTATCAGTAAACCAATTAGGTCTAGTCTAATTGACCACCATACCTTTCGTAGGGCTTAGTCTCAAGGGAGATCATGCGTTCAACTCCCCTTAGGAGAGTTGAATTAAGAAAATGTAAGCATTTACGTGCTTTGCCAAGGGTGGAAATTTTTCTCCTATAAGTGTTAATCTAACATCTAACAATTAACATTTGCGGATAAAAAAAACCCCATATACTTGTATCAGTAGTCATGAATTTTTTGCCCATGGTTACTTTTCCTTTGGTTGCCACGTTCACTCTCATTATTGCTTTTGTTTTAAGCTTTGTTTTTTTCTCTTTTTGCGGGTTGGTTTACATGGCTGCAGGAATTTGACAACATATATGGAGGTGGATGGCAATGTGTGGTGGGTTCAAACTTTGGTTGTTTCTTCACTCATTCACATGGGACTTTCATGTACTTTGCACTTGAATCCCTCAATGTTCTTATCTTTAAGGCTGCCTCTGCTTGAATCTTGATTGTATTGATGAGAGAGAGAGAGAGAGAGAGAGAGAGAGAGAGAGAGATGGATTTTAAGGGGCAATGACATAGGCTTTGGTGGATTTTCTTTGTATGGTAGTCAAATGTGGATTGTTAGGAGTGTAATGTATCAATAGGAGACTAGTAGGTAAAATGTTTCTATCTCCTCCTCAATCAGTGAAGAAATTTAGCAAGTTTAAAATTCAAATATACCTCCTCATGTACCAAAATACTCAAGTTCAAGTGACAAAAATGCCTTGTCTACTTTCGTTTTCTCTTAATTTCTTTTTAGATAAATTACATTGCTAATCCTTATATTTTAATTTTTTTTATCATTTTGATTTTTATAATTTCAATTAAATCAATTTTAACTTTCAAATTTGAATTTGTTACTGTCTCAAATTGGTTCAATTAATTGATTTAATTATTAGCAATTTTTTTGTAGCAAATACGCAAATGAACAACATATATCATGTTTTTAGGAGCAAAATTATAAATTTGATCAATTCAGTGACTTAATGCAACTAATTCACTAAAAAATTTCTATCAAAAATCGTAATAGTAGTATCAATTAGACCAAATTAATATAAAATATAAAATTAAATGTTAAAATTAAACCAATTAAAATTGAGGGGGCTAATAGTAAAATGTAAAGACTAACGATATAGTTTGGCTTTCTTTTTCTATGTTGTGTGGGAGTATATTTACATATTGTTCATTGGCTTGCATGTCACTCCGCTCCAAATGTTTAAGAAAATGTTACAATGTCTAAGAAAATGTCATTGTAAACAAGGTCATTTCTCTCTCTCTCTCTCCCCCGTATCATTGTGGGTGTCACTACAATATATAAGAGTTTTAGAAACTAAATATTTTAATTTCTAAAAGTAAAAATTTTATTATAAAAAATATTTAGGGACCAATTTCTATCGTCATGATGATAGTCGCTAAAAGATCGTTCTAAAAAGTAAAAAACAAGACTTTTAGCGACAAAATTTTAAAAATGTCACTAATAAATAGACTTTTAGGGACAAAATAATTTGGTCTCAAAATGGTTTATTTTTTAAGATAAAAAATTTGATCCAAAAAAGATAATAATTTATCACTAATGTCCAATTTTTGTTGCTACAAATATAATAACGACACTTTCGCAACAAAATTATTTGGTCCTTAAAAAATAATTTTGTCTCTAAATTTTTGTTTGTAAAATCTTAATTTTTTTGTAGTATGTACTTCCTTTTTAACTTTAACTTCTGGCGGTGTTCGATATCCAGCGGCGGCGGTGGCAGAGTTGGACAACAGCGATGGAGACGACATCGACGGGAACAACGCGCTTTCAAACAAATTTTGCTTTTCAAACCATATCCTTAAGAAGATCGGCAATTTTTTCTAACTCGTAATTGTTTTTTTGATAAATTTATTGTTTATTTTTTGTTTTGTGGTTTAGTTGGGTGACCCTTTGAGGTCTTGCTTATAATGTTGTTATTTATTAATATAATGTTTTTTATATTCTCAAAAAATCATTGTACATCAATTCATTCCTCAACTTTAAAATTGAACATTTAAACCCTTCAATTATAAATTAAATTACTTTTTAAGAAGAGCGTAATTAATAGAGTTTTTAAACAGTTGGGAGGTCTCAATGTATAATTTTAAAGTTGAGAGAGATAAATGACATTTAGTAATAGTTGAAGTGTTGTCCGTATAACCAACCTTTTTTTATAAGCAAGCAGAACATAATTTCTTAATACTTGTCTAAATATGGTTTACAAATATATATTTCGAGCTGAACAGTTTCCAAATACCCATCTAGTGTGACCTTGTATAAATGTTTTTAAAGAAAATTACAGATATTTCATCAGTCTATAATCAATACATTAGAGAATCTGAGATCCATATCATTCAACATACTGATCCTGATCTTGTATGCTTCTCTCTGGTGCACTGGACTATTCTACCCACAAGCAGTGAGAGCCTAATGAGTCTGTGAGACCAACACGCCTCTCACAACCAGTGAATTCACTTGACGATAGTGCACTGGAGAGGAGCCTAACTCCATCCATATTTACAGAAAGTAGAATTTCCGGCCCCAAAAATCCCACATCATCCAAATTTGTATGAAATGCTAAAGCACAAAATCTGTAAACATCTCCTCTACCATCCCATCAAAAACTAGCTTCTCTATGTCACCTACAACTTGCTCAACTTCATCCACAGTGAATGCATGCCTCCAACCCATATCCCATGCCCCACTCGCCACTCCTTCGCACCTCAAATCTCTCTCCAAAACCGCATAAAGCCCATCTATGGTGCGTTTCTTGCCAACGTGCTTACTATAACTCCTCAGATCCTTAATTCCATCGATCACTTCCTCCACCAATTGGGCTAGAGAGATGGTGAGTTTTGAATTCCTTGCATGAGCTAGTAACAATGGATGCACTTTTTGTGTACATCGAATGCTTTTGTGTCGCACGAGTTCATTTGCACAGTCCAACAAGAGTCTGGTATCAGTTTTTTCGCAATCGTTTAAACAAGAGTCTGGTGTCAATCCATTGAGAGTCTGGTTAGGCTTGATGTCAAAGAGCTCCTCTGCGTAACTCAAGAATGATGGACTGCTCAAAAGAAAATCTTTTTCAACGGTTTTAGTACCAATGTATTCGTTAGCCTCTTCCGCAGATTTGAGGCTGCTTTCATGTTGGATAGTCAGTGGAGTGACATTGTGAGGAAAATTCCAGCTGCTATCGCATTGGTCTGCAATTAAAGAGGCATTGAGTCCCATTAAAACCAATAAACAGATAACAGATGAAATAATGTTTTTTATATGCATGTGTTGAATGTGTGAACACAGATCCACTTAGATACCAACTTACCCGACGTAATTATCAAAGCTCATTTAACCTTGACATCAACTAAAATCTTGAAAATCTTGTAGAACTTGAAAATTAGAAACTCAAAGCATGTAGGTCGAAGATTTTCAAATAAGTTTTATGTGTTTTGCGTGTGATTTTCACAACTGAAAAAAAGAGAGAAGTTGAGAAAAGGCATCCTTAATACAAAATATGCAAAAATAATAGAAGCATAAGGGTCATAACAATGCCGTTACAGCGTTTACATAACAGTGGCAATATTACATTTGTGAATTTCTATCACACCACTATAGCAGCTGTAATATGTGGCAGAAAACACGAGGCCGATTTTTAAAACCTTGGAAGAAACCGCTCAATTATTTAATTACCAAATTATGCGACTCAATTATTAAAGTTCATTTAACCTTGACAGCAATCTTGCAGACCTTGAAGATTAGAAACTCAAAACATGTAAATCTTAGATTTCATATAAGTTCTATGCACCTTTTTGTGATTTAATTAGCTGGAAAAAAGAAAAATCAGAAAAAGTGGCAGTGGTGGCTGTTACAGCTGTGAATTTGTGCCACATCGCTATAGTGATAGTAATGGGTGGCAGTAACCACTGAACCGTTACGTAACGGTTGTAGCTGATTTTTAAAACCTTGGAAGAAACCATAACTGCAAAATGGTTTTCTTGCCTAGAGGACACTCACTCAGATAACAGACAGTCCTCCATGAAATGAGAACCTTATACATGCTTTTTATACATGCATATGTGTAGAATTTGTGAACACAGATCAACTTAATTACCAACTTACTCGACTTATTTATCAAAGTTTAGTCATTTACACCCATGTAACTAGTATCTAAGAATGTGCCATACCTTTAATCTGAATTTCAGAGGCATCCGTCCCTTCCTCAGGAAGGAGTCGATCAGCAGTCAAGCCAGTTCTTGTCATATCAGTTTCATTTTCGCAAGTAAGTTCAATTGATTCAATTGTCTTGTCACCATACTTGCTTCCTACATTTTCAACCTGCATTGACATATACCGTATCAATCTTTGATGACTCTAGTTGAGCAGAGTAGTAAATTGATCAAGTTTGACTTAAAAAATTGACTTTCAGAATGGATTCAAGCTTGGCTTGTTTACATAACGAGTCAAGCTTGAGTGGCTTGTTTTTTTATAATGCATATAGGCTTGTCTAGCCAAGTTATAGGTTGTTCAAGCTTGGCTTGTTTTCATAACGAGCCCATCTTGAACTAACTTTTAACAAGCTGAACACGAGTCAAACTGGAGTAGCTTGGTTCATTTTGCAGCCCTATCCAAGGGCCAAGTCTAATTTCTGCATCGCAATCCCTATTACTTCTTTAGTTCCTTAATGCTTTGAATCTTGGAGTTGTGGAGAGAAAAGAAACAGAAATACCCTTTTCTTTTCCTCCAACCCTCCTCAAATCTAAGATCCAAAAAAAGACTTAAAGAATTCTAAAACAACTACATCTATATAGAATCAGAGAACAAACACAAGTTCCTAAAAGAACATCAAGATTATAAAGATGGAATGTCAAGTGGACTCACAACTAAATTAGCTGCCAAGGACTTCTTCACAAGCTTCTCATTCTTCATGTTCTTTTTCCTGTCACCGTAGCTGTGAGGCACATCAGGAGTTGAGTGTTCTGGCATGGGACTCGAGGAAGTAGACTTTTTCTGGGAAATTCGAGTCTTTGTAGCGTTTGACCCGATTTCAGATTTTCTTTCTTTCGTAGAGGTCACTTTGGCTTGATCGTGAGACCTAGAAACCTCTTTAGATTTCACATTCTCCATTTCTGCTGGCTTTCTTCTGCACTGTGACACCTTTTGAACTCTATCGACTTTCTTCTCAATTGCTTTCTTTTTCTGTTCTTGATTTACCGATTCAGAAACTTTCAACTTATTAGAAGACAACTTTGCAATAGGCTTGACTGCTGTTTCTCCTGCTTTTGCTTGTCCCTCTTTACAGTTTTCAGCCCCTTCCTGACTAATCCTTTTGATCGAAGCATCTTCTCCTCTAAATCTTCTACACATTTCACTTGAACCTAAAGCTCCTTCGTTCTTTTTCAAATTTCTGAGCACTTCATGGATGTCAAGACCTCCCACATCTCCAGCAAACTTTTGCAAGTGAGGCTCTTCTCTCTCCAAACTCGAAAAGTGCAGGGGTTTTATAATTACAATAGGTGGGGGATCTTCATTAAACCTCTTTTTCGAGTTAGAAGCATTAGAATAAGCCGAATTGCTCTTTAGAAGCCCTTTATAATGCATAGTTTCGACTATTTCTTTCAGTTTCCTTCGCTCCAAATCTACCTTACAAGTAGCAGACTGAGGCTTCCTTGCCTTCGGCATATCAATATCAAATATGGGTCGTCTCTGAATCGAAACGTTTTCACTCTCCGACTGTTTTCTTGGAATAGTCTGCACTGCTTGTGAGGAAATTTCTTCCAGACCCATAAGCTTAGCAATCAAATTCGAGCCTTTTGATTTCTGTGGAACCTTCGATGAGGACAGAGAGGATTGGCTTGAGCTAGTGGAGGCCATATCAAGAGCTGAGTCCAGTGTTCTTTTATCACAGTAAGCCCTTTTTTCACCAGGTGGAAGAAGATTTTGCCTAGCAAGACCGTCTCTGATTGCTGTTCTGAGCTCCTCAAAACAATCACTCGAATACCCAGCAGCTGAAAGTCTTGGCTTCTGAAATCCCATTTGGTAATTATGATCTGCGAAGCGATGAGAATTCATTCTTTCAACTCCCATTCGATCAATTCTCTCTCCCCCGGATTTCTCTTCCTGCTTTTTCTTCAATTTATTATCCAAATACTGAGAACCTTCTTGATAACCCCTTGAGTAACCATCAAGAGAAAGTCTCAGCTTCTGAATTCCCATTTGGTAATTATGATCTGCAAAGCGATGAGAGTTCATTCTTTCAATTCCCATTGAATCAACTCTCTCTCCCCCAGATTTCCCCTCCTGCGTTTTCTTTAACTTATCAATGTACTGAGAACTTTCTCGACAACCCCTTGAATAATCATCAAAAGAAAGTCTTGGTTTCTGAAATCCAGTTTGGATTTTATGATCCGCGAAGCGACGAGAATTTGTTCTTTCGACTCCCATTTCATCAATTCTCTCTCCCTCGGATTTCTCCTTCTGACTTTTCTTCAACTGAGCCATGTACTGAGAAGCTTCTTGTAATTTGCCAAGCATCATCAAAGACTCTTGCAAATCAAGAGCTCCTTTCAACAAATCTTTCGCTATTTCTTTTGAATTCCCATCAAAGCTCGTTCTCTTAGACCACGAATCGATCACTTGGTTGATCTTATGAGCGCCTTTCGACACCTCCATGAGCTGAAAGCAAGATGGGTTGCTAGGTGAATCTTCAGCGACATTTTTAGACTCCATCTCCTCTCCTCCTTCCTTGTGTGACTGATGATTTCTTTCGATTTTATCTGATTTTTTAGAACTAGTTTTGGATTTTCTGATTGTCCTACATTCAATGACACCTTTGGGATCATCACATGTGACAAATGATCTGTAGACAGCTGATCTTAGACTGTCTTGCGGCATATTTCTGTGACATAAAATTCCATTGAAAGAGTCAAATGATGATAATCTAGTTCAATTTTGCATAAATTAGTTGCGTAATTGGGTTTATTCTAATGATAATTTTCAAAGACACACAATTCTTTGGTGTTGTTGAAAGAGAAAGCAAAAATAAACAATCAGTTGCCGCCGAATGAAACAAAAAATGTGAATGTTAAAATACTAAAAGATCATTCTCCTGTTGAAAAATTCAAACACTCAAAAGTATAATTTTACACTAATTTCTGTCAATTTTCAAGAAACCAACAAAATTATATGGGGAGGGAGAGAGAGAGAGAGAGAGAGAGAGCGAACAAGCCTATGGTAAAAAAATGAGAACGTTAAAATACTGAAATATCATTATCGTGTTGAAAAATTCAAACAGGAGCAATTGGGTATGTTCAAGTATAATTTAACACTAATTTCTGTTAAGAACCCAACAAAATGGAGAGAGAGAGAGCAATGCTATAGTAAAATTTTCAGTGTTGGATCTGAACTTGAGAAAGATTAATTGTAGATGATGGTAACAAACAGAAAGCAATAACATCATATGTCCGTGAAAATTTCAAGCGTGATACCTGAATTCTTGCGTATTTTCTCTGCAAACAAACAGCCTCTGTCAACCCTGTTCAACCCAATTCTCTGTCCTTTGGCATCTACTTGAAACCCAAGTCAAAGAAAAGCCAAGAAACCAAGAGAAATTGAGAGACCCAGATGAGAAAATGATGGAAAAACAAGAATTGGCCAAAACCCATCAACATTTACAGAGAAAAAGCTCAGATCCAAAAGAGAAAAGAGCAAAATAGCAGGTGAATTTTGACTTTCTCTTTCCAAAACAAAGAGAGAGAAAGAGAGGGAGAGAGAGAGCTGGGTGTTGGTTAGGTGTACTTTGTTTAATAATAATGAAATGGCTTTGAATAATGAGTGATATTGTTATGGAGAGTGCGTGAGTAATGGTGGAAATTGAATCTTGTCGTATTAGTGTTGCAGAATGCAGAGTACCGAATAAAACAGAGGAAATCTATTCAAAAGATTGAAGAGGGAAGGTGGGATTATGGGAACTGGGAAACTGCAATGAAAAAGCCCATGATAAAAAAAAAAAATATGAAAAAAAGAGAGTAATTTGTTTAAATTTATAGGGACTGTTTGGTAAAAGAAAAAATATAACTTACATATATATTTTTCATTTGATTAGTGTAGCAGGTAACTCAACACTTGGCATTGAGATTATCGGCTTGGCCTTTTGCGTTGAGTATAGGGTAGGGTATCGTGTGGTCGTCCATATTGTATTTGTGTCGTGTCATGTTAAATTTATATAATTTTTTTATGTTAATTAATATATCATTTGTGTTATGTATGAGATTGAATTTAAAAAAATTATATATGATTATATCAAATATATTTTTAAATTTTTAGCATAAAATATATGTAATGTTAAAAAAAAAATGTTGACATTGCATAATTAAAGTAATAAAACTAAGAATTTATTACATTTGTTTGGAATTCACTGAATAAATAAAAGAAAGTATAACTAAAATCTAAACTGTTGTTGGTCTTCCATCAGATGTCAGCATGATAGTTAATATTATAATTGATGAACAACACATATATTATATATTTATAAAATGTTATACTTATATATATATATATATATATATATATTCTTTTTACCTTCTACAAAGTATATACATTCTTCAGACCAATCTATATTTAAAACAAAGGTTATGCATTGTGCACAATCTAGTTGACTTAACATTGTTAGTACAGGTATGATAAATGCATAGGTACGATCTTGGCATGACGCAATATAATATTTAGTCATTTTAACTCCATTATCCTGTAATTTTTTTGAATTATAACATTGTGTTTAAAGATTAAAGATTATATTGGGTCATGCCAAGAGAAAATAAGCAGCTATGACACTTGCTCCAACTATGCCGCCGTCATACCATGGCGGCAACGGTGGTGGTGTCAGCAACATTCAGATCTATAAAAGAAGAAAGAGAGAGAGAGAGGCACGGGCAACGACGGTGGTCAGACCTGCTCAGATTTGAAGTTGAGGAGGAGGAGCTCGATCGCTGAGGGTTCATCTTTGTCGTTGTCTTCGTGGACCACCGCGATCTCTGCCAGTTAAGACGGATCAAAGCACCTTCTAGTTGCATTTGTAACTCTGATGAAATGGACTTCAACGACGTTGTTTTGGCTATAAACGATGACGAAGAGCTCTATCATGACCAATTGTACTTCACGTTGCCATTGAGTCGGTTAAAATGCCCGTTTTAGGCGAAGGAGATAGCGATAACAGCGGTTAAAGCCATCTCTGTCTTGATGAATAGCGGCGGTGTTGGAAGAGTTTTGGGAACTTGGTTTTTTTTGGCACCGTCTCACTTACGCTTTTTTGATTGGGCATCGCCAGCGAGTCTGCAAGGAGGCTTTAGAGAACGGCGGAAGAGCTCAAGGTAAGGGTTTCGGTGAAGGTTTAGAAAGAGAGATGGGGTAGATTATAGAGAGAGAGAGAGAGAGTGTGTTGATCTTGTTTGAGACTGAGATCATATAACACACACACATATATATATACATGGGTAGTTTAGCCATTTTATAAAATTTTATTATTTTAGACACAATACCTAAGCGCTTGAATCTTTAATCAAATAAAATCGAGATTTACGAATCGAATGTTCTTTTCTTAATTGTTTACCTTTGTTTTTTCTGCCTGAACCTTTCGTATCATCCTTTCGTAAGCGTAAATATAGAGAATTTTCTAACATTTTTTTGTCATGTCAGGGATTTTTTTTTTTTTTTTAGAGGGGGGGGAGGTTGGCTTTTTGAACAAAAAGCTAGCATCCCAAATGCCACTCAACCTCCTTATTTTTTCGTGTTGTTATGTTGTATTGTTTTGAATTCATATCCAATTCATATTATGTTAATATATCATGATAAAAATAATTCACTCTTAATTAAAGATAATAAGGGCATGCAAAAATAGTTTTTTTCTTACAAATTAAATTTCATTAATGAAAGTATTCAAAAAATAATTAATTTCAACTCAATTTCATTTCTTATTTTCAAAAAAAAAAAAAAAAAAACTAAATTATATTATTTGTTTAGTTTTTGTTTACTAGATTGACTGCAATAAACATCGTGTATACGGTCTATGTCGATTCTTCAATTATCAAAATTAAAATTTTAGATTCGGTGCTAAGTTTTTCCTCAAAATTGACTGAAGCGAACTGTTTACACTGCTATCCACTTCTACTTAAAGTCCTGATTTACCAATATAAAGTAGTTGTTATACTATGTATACATATATTCCTTTTTCTATTTGGTAGTATGATTTCCTAATTTTGAAGCTAATGTACCATGATGCTTTAATGAGTCTAAAGAGGACTGTAAGTTGTTGGGCAGTATTTTGAATTCGACTGAGGTGTACAACATCGATTTATTAGCAAGCCAGTAATGGTATATTAATATACCATATCATTTTTCTCAGTTTTTTATTTTTTATTTTTTGTAGCAAAAGTTGGGATTTGAGTAGGGGCCTTGACCAGCTGGGAGGGACCAATTGATTTTTTAAATTAGTTTGTGGTTTAAACATAAATGCTTTTTTCTTTATTGTTTTTGTTTTTGTTTTTTTCTATATAGTTGGATAATGTATTAACAAATTTACTTTGGTTGGGTGGATAAGCTGATTTCTTCTGTCCCCGTTGGGCATGTGTAATTGACAGTTTCAGAATCACACCATTTAAACCTTGCCCTATTTTGTGCATTTACTTTCACTTTCATTCATATTAAAGATACTAAGGTCAAGTTTGGCATATTTCAAATAATTTATTTTTTTATCTTTTTTTCATCATATCACCTCTCTACTTTTCTGCACATCTTTTTATAAAAAGATAAAAAATACACTTATTTAGGTCATCCCAAACAACCCCTAACTTTTCACTCACTCATTTTTTTGTGCATTTACTTCCACTTTCATTTAAAGACAGGAACTTTTCACTCACTCATTTTTAGAAATAAAAATAAAAAAATTGAAACCTCAAAGAGTGTTTTACAATTTAATCCATAATGATGTGACATATTTGATGTTAATTTGTAATTTCTTACACACTTAATCATATATGTCTCACCTTCTTTACCACATCATTGTAAATAAATTTGAGAATCAAAAGTATGAGTATCTAGCATTTTTTTTTTTAAATTGGACAAATTTTATTTTACTCTTATCTTGTTCATTTTCTCCCTTTACTTCCAACATTTAAAATTGCTTTGTATGATAATGACCCTCTACTTGTAACAAAAAAATTTCATTTAAATTGAGAGAATTTATATGATACACACACATTTTGATATTTGACATAATAAAATTAAGGCAAAGTTAAATTTTAATGTAAAAAGACAAAGATTCCCCTGCCTGCATATTTTTCCTAGCCTATTGAAAACCCTAAAATGAAAACATCATCCAATCTTTACCGTCTTCCAGCCCCTTGTCCCTTGCCTCACTACTTCTCTCACTAGGGATGTAAAAAATGGCATGTGGCCGGGAGTGGGCTCGGGCCGGTTAGGCCCGGATCCAAGCCTAGCTTGGGATCCTAGGCTTGGGTCGTCATTTTGAAATCCGGTCTATCAATTTGTTCAAGACTCACTCAAAGCTCGGCTTGAGACCCGGTGTTATTTTTAGTGGAAAAGAATAAAATTTTGGTAGAAAAAATAGAAAAAAAAATTTAAAAAAATATTCAGACCCAAGCTTGGCTCAAACCTAAGCCTAGGCTCGCCCTTCCAAGGTCCGAATATCCCTTGAGCTTGGGTCTAATTTTTTGGCCCGTGGATCGGTTTGGCCTGGCCCGAATTTTGTCGGGATCCCAGGCGGCCAGACATGGGCTTGCCCAAGCTCGAGCCCGAGTAGGTCGGGCCCAATTTACATCCCTGTCTCTCACTAATCTCACGAACCTCTCCCTCTTCTCTTCTTCCTAACCGCTATTGACATATTGTTTTTCCTACGATCTTGTTCTTATATTATGAGACACAAGGCCTTTTTTAGCATGTAGGTTAAAAGTTAACTTATTGACATTTTAGTTTTTTTTGAGTCGCATCACCTTTTTATTTTTTTTGCATATTTTTTCAAAAAAAAGTATAAAAAATTAAAAAAATTCAATTTTTAACATATTTTCCAAAATAACGAATACCTACTTAAGGAACGTGTTGCTTACACCGTAGAAGTCACTAGGATTTTTTTTTTAATTTAATTTTTTAAAATCTTCTTATTATATTAGTATTGACAAAACCAAGGAGTTTGATGAATGGTAAAAAGTTGAGGATAAGATCTAAATACTTTAATTTGAGTTACCTAAAGAATAAAGAGCCACTGAAAATTTACATGATCCTTAATTTCAATATCTTAAAGTTAGTCGAAAAAAATATGAGTACTGACTTTGAATTATCTTCAAGCTAGATAAGACAGGCCCCTCTGCATTTAAAAAATAAAAAATAAAAAAAATTGGTTACTAGGGAATATTCTTGAAGAAAGAAAAATATTACTTCAACATGGTTTCAACCTGTAATTCAAGATTAGAGGTAATTAGCTTTTGCCTTTTACTTTTTCTTACATTATAATTTATAATGTAACTTATAATAATATATATATACTTTTTTTTTTTTGGAAGAAAGAGAGATTAGTTTCATTGGATAATCTTTAGATGATTTAGATCCAACATGGCAATAATAAATTAAGGTCCCCAATTAAATTACAGAAATGCGCGAGACCCCAGTAAAAGCCACCCCCAGTGACCCCCAGTGTCACGTGGCACTGCGGGATTGGAAGGAAAGAAAAAAAAAAAGAAAAAAAGAAAAAATTGGCCAATGGGGGAAGCCCACGTCACTGGGGGTCGACCCCCAGTGGGGGTGCGTAGCAAGGTTGATTAAATTATGTGTATAAAGTACAAAACTAATCACTACAGATATCTGACAAGAATATTATAATTTATACTCTTTTTTTTTCTTCAAAATTATTATTAATGTATGGGTGTGTTTGATTGGACGGACTGAATAATAAGAGATTAGAATCTATCGGACTTGAGTTCTGGGA